GCCGATGACGATCTTGGAGGGAAGGGGCGTTTCGGGAAATCAGGGCCTAAAGCAAGACCAATTGGATTATTTGAATTTGACGAGGGATAAGCAGAGAAAGGCGTACGAGTTGGTAAGAGAGCAGGATAAGATAACCAAGGCTAAGCATGAGAAGAGCAATCAGGTGTTGAACTCGATAGTAGGAAAGAGGCCGAAGTATAAGAAGGGAGATTGGGTCTTAGTGTATGATGAGAAGAGTACAATTTCTGGTGGGGGGGGAACACGTGCTTAAATCGCGAGATAATAGTAGGGGGAAAGAAAAATCGTTCGCGTTGATCCCAAAGTTGGCACACAATTGGACCGGTCCGTATAAGGTGTTGATCGTGGGTCCAGGTGATGGTCTTGACGGGGAAAAGGTGGGCCCGAATATTTTGTTTTTGGACGTGAATAAGGATGAGCCAGGAAAGAACATTAATGAGAGGGTGACGGTGTATCGGTGTAAGAAGTGTTATACTCAGCACGAGAACGAGGATAGGCCTAGGTTTTTGCCGTGGGGCTTTAGCAAGTATGTGTTGAATAAGTTTTCAGAGTTGGCGCCTCCGTTCCATCTTACGGCAGAGGACGTGGAGGAAGAATTGGATAGTAAGGAATTGGTCCCGTGTAAAATATCAAGGCACAGGATTTGTCGAGGTATCAGTGGGAAGGGGGCGGCTCAGTACTACACGCATTGGACGGGGTTGGCTATGTGTACGTGGGAGCATGAAGTGGAGTTGGAGCAATATGGAGACGTGGTACTTAAGTATTGGGATGAGCAGCCGGAACAATCGGCCGGAGGGAACATTAGGTATCGGAGGTACCGTATTCAGGGTGCAAAGAGGACGATATGCTAGCAGGAAGGGAGAAAGACACGTGCAGAAGGATTACAAACTTTGTTGTGACACACGGGGTAGGCCGAGTCTTCGAAGTAGGGCGATGATTGGTGCATATTTATATTTTAAGACGGTTAAGGCTGGGTGGCAGTTTGCGAAGGTGGTGCAGGTGACTCCGGATCCGAGGTGGGAAGAAGGCATCAAGCATACTATCAAGCTGGTGGACATCGGCAAAAACATCAATGTGGCACTTGTGGAGAAGAACTTGACGACGGACAACTTGGTACAAGATCCAGGGACGTGGTGCTGGCATGCACACCGAACGGCGAAAAGTGTGAAGAAGTACATGTTTGAGTTGGAGGATGATTAAGTGTTGCGAATTTTTGAAGTGCGTAGGACTGCGGAAAAGTGTGCCAAGTGGTGCAGTCGAATACGGGTCAAAATTCAGGTTGTTTTTGAAGTGCGTAGGACTGCGGAAAAGTGTGCCAAGTGGTGCAGTCGAATACGGGTCAAAAATTGATGTGTTGGAGCAATTGTTGTTTTGGCTAAAGAATGTACCTTGCGATGGAGTCATATTGCAGTGGTACCACGGTCGTGACAAAATTGGTGTGCGTATTACATGAGTTGGTATTCTGGTGATTAACTTTTGGACTTTGTTGCTGGAGAAGATATTGGTTGTAGATCAGGTATTGCACGTTGTTGTTGAGTGTCAATTCAAACGAGACTGATCGAAGATAAGTATGCGTTGAACCTGGGGGGGGGCGAATGTCGTGCAATAAGCCAACCCTAGTTTGGGTCAGTGTAAGAAGACTTGGGGTAGTTTAATCGCAGTATATATGTTTAGGCGTGATGGAATGGACTTGCGAATGATGGCTCTGGGAGCAGGGTTGGATTTAGTTCTGGTTGAGATATCGCCAAATAAGGTCATGAAAAGTGTATGAGATGGAGACTAGAAGTGAGGAAGTTGTGGTTTATGGTTGGAATGATGAGCTTATGAGGGAATTCTAGTCAGTTGAGAGAGAGAGAGATAGTTGGAGAGAAAGTGAAGCGGCGCAATTGGATAGATACAGGGAAGCGGCGCAATTAGCTGTAGTAGCAGCTGACGTTGCATGCCCCCCTTTTTCAGTGTTCGAATTCCCTGCTGATCCCGGCCCACGAAGGCCTAAGAAACACACTTTGATCGCATGCACCTTCGAGACGCGAAACACACACGACCCCACCGGCACATCTACATAAATATCTGGGCGCCAGTAGGCCACCGCCGGCCGATTGCACGTCACAGGGAAAAGTTCCCGCTACGATCTGGGCCTCCAACCCGTAGCGGAGTAGTGTTTACACATTGATAGTAGATCTTTAGGACTAACGCGTTCTGATTGGTCGGGCGTTGTTCGGCGTTGGTTCTGGCGGCCGATTCCTCTCCAGCGCCCTCTCCCCGTTCCGCATTCCGAGCACGCGGCGCAGCCGCGTGCCGCCTAGTTCGCGGCCGCTAGGCCATGCTTTGGCCATGGGTGAGGGGTAGGGTGAGGGCTAGGGTTAGGGTAGATGTGGGGTGAGCTGGCTCCAGCAAGCCGCACCATCACACACGACCATCCCTAACAAGCCACGGGTCCACGCCAGACACCATTCAACCGCGGTGAACTGTGGTCCTACTCACACTGCAGCGGGTGGTCCAAGAATTGTCCGAAATCTTGCTCTGTGGGCGCGTAACCAGAGCTGCCTCTCAGGAGAGCCGGTACACCAGGATTGGAGGGGTGCAGCGCAGCCAAGTAGCCCAAAACAGTGGGGGCTGTGCTGGTTTCGATTGTTAGGGTGTTGGCTGCATAGCTGAGGACGTCGCCGTTCTCTAGCACTTTGTTTCACAGGGGATTACGTCCTAGGGGCTACGAAATCGTCTATTCGGTCAGCAGCAAAAGGCGGTCAAATTGATCGTTTTTTCGGGGTTCGCACCAAATGACCCGCGGTTTTCTCGGTTCCTGTGGGAGAGCTGTGCATGGCAAAGAAGCGCCAGGAGGGGGGCCAGGACTGTGCTTCGCCTGTGGACGTCCCGGCAGCCGCGACGGGTGCTCGAGCAGGTGGAAGCACGTTGGACAGGGAACATATTGGGCGGAGCTGGGCGAGTGGTCTGCCATAGTAGGGGAAGAGTGGCCTCATGAGCGCGACACGTGCAGACCCTCTCAAAGTGGGAGAGTGCATCTGTACACGGCCCGACTGCGTTGGCGGGATGTACAAAAAGTTCAAGAGGCGCCGAGAGAAGGAGGAAAACGGGTCTAGGGACAACATGGTGGTTGGGCAGCCGTCACCGATGGGCCGATACCCTTCTACGGGCTTCAGGTATTATGTGATGAAGTGGTTGACGGAAGGGTTCCCTGCAAGAAACGAGCTTTCCTTGAAAGTGGGGTGTAGGATCCGGAACTTGAATCGCATTCTAAAGGGCAAACCATCGTGTGAGTACGCTCTTTTTGGAATATTTTGTCGTTGGGGTAGGGAATGACATACACAGAAAACCGAGGCTCTCCAACTAAAGGTTTCCTTTGTTTCGTCCGCTACACATCCCTCCTCCCTTCAGGTAGTATGTGGTCCGTCTTGGACAATTCTGCTCTGCTGCCTCCCCGCAAAGTGGCTCATAGGCGGTGTGATCATCTCTCTCTCTCTTTGCCGATTTGGCCGATATTAGAATGCGCCCATGCGTCAATGTCATGCAATTACAGGTTCGAGCTCTTTTTTTGGAAAACGTGGATGTAGAAGGCGGCGTGCTCGATTGCTGTGGCGCCGGACAGGACGCCGTCAGCACGGTGCTGACAGCGCGCGGTCTTCGTGTTGCTACGAACGACTTAAGCTCCACGTAAGCATATGTGTGTCTTGAGGCCTCTTTCGAATCCACCACGCGCGGGTGTACATGCTGGCTTCCTAGACTCCGAGCCCCCCACCCTGCTGGCAGGTCTACCGTTGTCTAAAAAAAATCACACCACGGTTGATTTATTGTCTGCATGACGACAGTGTTTTATAGCGTTTTGTTTCTTGGCAGGGTGAACGATGTGTTTCACGTTTTTTTATTTTTTTTCAGGGAAGTGATGTGTTCCAAAATACACAGCGCTTCTGGCTAGTACTTGCAATCAAAATCCCCAGAAACTGATGAAGCTTTGGGAAATCCCAAACAATACTGTAAAACAAACACAACCCCAAAACCCCCGGACTTTCCCCCGAATGGGACACAAGTTCGAACAAACTATCCCTCCCCCCTTCCCCCGGCGGGAATACAACTTGAGATACTTGCGTCAAACATGAAATGTGTCTCCATATGTTTGGCCTCCCTCTCACAGGTTGGTCGCCGATACCCACCTGGACGCCACGACAGATGACTTTGCCGAGGCGTACCTAGAGGACATGCGCCGCCCGGACTGGGTGGTGACAAGCCCGCCTTACAAAAACGCGTTTTATATTTTGAAACAAGCGTTGCGGGTCGGGCGCGTGGGAGTGGCATTCAAGCTGAGACTGACTTTTCTCGAACCTGTAAAAAGCAGAGGGCGTTGGCTAAAGGATAACCCTCCTGACAGGATTGTGATGCTCCCGCGCGCTACTTACCGCGGGAGGAAGTGTAGCTCTACGGAGGCGTGGTTTGTGTGGCAGGCAGTACGGGAGCAGAAAGAGCACACCAAACCCGCAATTTGCTTTTACTTGCCTGGCTAAGGTTTGTTGCACTTATGTGAGAGTTGTGAGATGCGGACCCCGTGCATTGGAGGTTACACCGTTTTCCTTTGTGTTTCTGTGTGTTTGCGTGCTGGTGCAGGATTTCGACGAACCGCCGGCTATGGCGTAATGTTGTGAGCCCTATGACTTGTTATGAAGCAGACGACCGGCAGTTGGATGGTACTGTTGGTCTTGGGCTGGTGTGTAACGGCGCAGGGTACATGTTGCAATCCGTTCTCCCGCACACGTGAGGGTCATCCCAACATGTGGGCGACAGGTTGTTGTTGTTCCTGGCTTCACATTGAGCTACCGTTCCGGCTCCGCTGACACCAGCCAACTACCCAAAGAAGGGGTACACCTTTGATAGAAATGAAAGCACGGAAATCAAAACCGACCCAACAAAAACAATCTTCAAGCGCCGTCATACGCCACCGGTCGCCCCACTGGTATCGTGGGTAACCTCGCAGCCTGCTAACGACCAGGTCATGGGTTCCAGTCCCGACAGAGTTACTTTTTTTCTCGCCAATTAAATCCTGGTCTCCGTTGGAAGCTACGCGCTGCAAAGTGCGTTGTTTGTAAACTTGATCGACTTCACGATCGACTTCACAAGTCGCGAGGGAAAAGATTGCTGTACCCTTATCGCGATACAAATATCTCAGGCAGGAACTGCAGGAGGGGGTCCAGCCCCCCCCTCCTATGTGATCCCGGTTGGGTCGTCTAGCTGGTTTAAGCGGAGGATAGTGACCAGAGCGGCAGACGACCGAGTCCAAAGATGGGAGAAAAAAAAAATATACAACATCACAAAAAGACAAAAACTTCGGTCGCCAGACGAAGCTCATGTATGCAAACAACACACTAGTCACGGAGCAAGAGAAGACACCTCTCGTGCGACGGGAGAACGGCTAAACAACAGGAACTTAGCAGGTCTACAATCCTGCCAGAAAGAAAAGCCGCACATTGCTGCACACTCTTGTGATAGCAACAGAGTCGGATGTACAGCTGAGGACCATCGGAACACTGCGACACGGATGATAGAGCAAGACGTGCACGGAGGGTGGCGGGGGGCGGGGGGCGCGCGTGCGAGGGGGGGGGGGGGGGGTTTTTATTTTCTGGGAAAAAACCAGAAAATGGAACTTTTAACAACATCTTTTATTTTCCCTCCCCCTTCTGGCCCCAAACGTACTGGTACAAAAAGCATGTCTATTAAATGCCAGTCTCTCTGGGCCCCCTAAAAGAAAAGGCGGCCCCACCCAGGGTGACCCCCAACCAAAAATATCCCCCCCATTTTCCCCCATGAATTTTGACTCCTCCTAATCCCAAAAGTCCTGTTTTCCTTTCAGCCCGAAACCCCCCTCCTCCCTATCCTCCATCCACCCCTCCTCCTCCTCCCCTCCCCCTGAACCCTCCCCCCCAAACTCCTCCAAATTTTCCACCAAAAAAATCCCCGCCACCACCCCAAAATTTCCAATTTTAAGGGAAACCCCTTTTTTTTATGATGGGACCCCCCACCTTAA